GAATGGCAAAAAGCGGCCGCGGACTACAAAGACCTGCGGGCATTTAAGCGAAAAGCTAATGAAACCGAAAATAAGATCAATTAGACTGGCAGTGATTTACAAAATAACAATCGAGCAGGAATTATGCCAGTAGAACCAATCCTTTTGGCTTATCGTGAGCAATCCCGGGTTGAGGTGTGTATCTCCCTGTAACTCGGTGAAAAGGTTTTCGGTGAAGTGACAAAATTCTGGTTAGAGGGGGCACTCGTTAGATGTAAGATTGCGAAGGCGAAAAGAAACGGGAAACCCGAGAAAAAGGAAAATGAATCGATTAATGGCCAAATATATTCAAATCTACGTGCTGTGCAGGAATTACGCGTGTAAATCGAATCTTTTTATGTGCGTGACTGGCTGTGTAGCCTCGGGCAGCAGGGGAATATGCCCTCGGCATTGTTCGAGAGAAGTCAAATTGAGTATGCTTTCTAACTAGCAGCAACAAGACCAGATGAAAAACAGTCACAAACGGAAGACGGTTTTATGGGTAAAGGTCGCTTAACGGGGGGGGGGGGAAGAAATAAAGGGCGTGGAAACCATTTTTTATTTAGAAAGGATATCCTGCTATTTTGAAAACGACATCGGATAGATCGTTGAAAATTATACTAAGAGATTCAATTTCAGTCCGAAAAAACCTCATTTTCAACGATTTTTGATTGATTCAACTTTTTAACGTAATAAAGCAACGTGAAATCTGAAAGCGCGGTAAATGTGGATGACTTTATACGAATGAATGAATGAATGTCGATGAATGTATCTTTATACTTGATACTTTATACTTTATACTTGATGACCAGCCGATGGTTTTGTTTTTAATAATGAATTTAAATTACATTATTGGGGCCGAAACCAATTCTCTAAGGATATTTTGCGACGGTCCGATCCGATGGCATTCTTCAATTCGCATGACCAGGTTCCTATATGGTAATTAAAAAGAACGTTGTGCGAGCGGTAGAAATCATTCTGTTCAAATTCGCCCTGTAATGCATTGACAGGTATTTCTGGGGTTTCATCCAAAACCAAATATTTATTCAATCTTATTGCGGTCCAGGAAAAAATTTCTGATATCTGGATTGCAAGCCGCTAATTCCTGGTATGTCGCCGCGAAAAGATGCACATAGTCGCTACCGATTTGTGCCCCCATCAATTCACCATTGCTCCGCTGGATACGGTGATAGATACATGTATCTTTAATTGACGGGTAGCTTTGAAATAGTGCAGCTAGCTCTGGACCTTGCCCGCCTAAAATCGTTGCTCGATCAATTTGACGCTTTCCTTCTAGCCATTGGCCGATCAACAGTTTTAGATATTCGGCTACATCACTCCTGTTGAAGCCCGAGGCGAGAACCAGGAAGTGCGGTATGCGCAGTGAGATGTATTCCACCAGAAGACTCGTGATGGGAAAGTGAGTGGTGCGAAAATGCAAACTATCAATCGATTCAGACATCCATTCCATTAATTTGTGATTGGGCGCGAAGCGCGCCACGACAAGCCTATATCTTCCAGTTGGCTTATGGCGCTTCAGAATTGATAGCAGATCTTCGGCATGGAATTCCACTATCAAGCCTTCGCAACGGAGACCGATGATGCCATCCGGGATATGGTCAGTTAGCTTCAGCTCCGTGACAGTAGCCTGATCGAAAAGCAGCTTGTGTAAGGCGGACCTCTTGTTCGACAAAACTACTGTTTTGCAGCTTCCATACATCCAAAATCGATGATCTTTCTTTGAATATTCGAGCCCTACATGCCAATATTTGTCTCGGCAAGTCTTGGCCACTTCTAGCACCTCCTTGCTTGTCAGGGCCGTTGTGTGGAAGCTTTCAATATCCATCCGACGCATCACGCTGTGTTGCACTTCAATCGGCAGTGCGCAAAAGTCCATCGTCTGAAAATGGATTGGATCATTCGAAAGATACAAGGAAAAGGCCAAACGCATGAAAAGAAAACTAGATGTTTCTGAATGACAGCGGAGTTTCTGCACGAGACCATGCCACTTGTGCGAAAATTTGCGCTGCTTCCGGATATGATCGCCAAATGAGCGGATTTGGCTCAAGTCTAGGAAACCCCCCCCCCCAGCCGACTCTTCAGCTTTTCTACCACCTTATTTTTATTTTGCGCCACTTTTTTCGACTGAACTGCAATGTAGTTGTACTAATCAGCCTACGGCGAACATTTTGATATATACTTTAGAGCTCGCTAACACAAAGGGGGGCCGAGATACAAAAGTTGGTGCCGGCTGGGGGGGGGGGGGGGGGGGTTTCCTAGACTCTTACCGCGGATTTTCCGATAGTTTTGAATGACCAAAATATGCTCAGATTGAGCCATTCCGCGAATTTCGTAAACATATTCCGAATCGGTTCCAAAATCCACACACGATAGGCTTGGTCCTGCTCAACATTGGGATCTCACTCAAAGACGGCTCTTGTTAGGGGCAAAATGCAAATTTTGAAGGGCTATAGGCGTCCACTTGACCATGAAGACCTGCGAAAAGTGAAGCGAAAAAGCTAATGTAACCGAAATGAGATCAGTCAGACGGTCTGTGACCTGTAAAATAATAACCGGGCGGGAATTACGGAAATATACCCGCTCCCTTGGCAGCACCAATGGCATTGCGGCCTCCGGTGTCGGTGAGATGCCCTGAAGTCACTCTCTTTTTCTCTCACTCTCTCCCCCTCTCTTACTCTCGCTCTTTTTTGACGGCACACCATCTGAAAAACCCGTGCAAAAATCGAAATAGGGAGAATTCTAGCCCCGTAGCGACCTCTGGTAAGTTGCTACAAATATAAGGCCACTCCCAAAAGGGATTTGATTTGGCACTTCGGTGCCCCTTTAATGGATTGACATGTATGTATTTTTGTAGGGACCAACCAAAAAAAACATTTATTCAGGCCGGAAAAATCTGGTCTGTCACCCGAAACAGTCTCACAAATTCGCGGCCGATTTCTACCACCATGACATCACCATTACTCCGCCGAATACGATAGCTCTGGTTCTGCCCACCGCTAATGGACGGATAGCTTTGAAGTAATGGAGCTAGATCCGGAAGCGGGTAGCAGAAAATCTCTGCGCGCTTGATTTCTCGCTTCCCTTCTAGCCACTGATCGATCAGTAATTTTACGTATTCGGCCACACCATCTATGGGGTCACGTCCATGGTGCGTGGACACGACGCTCAGTTTGGAGACGCGCAGATCGATGTATTCCGTCAGGGGAATCATCGGGACAAATCTATCGATGCCCAGCCACATAAAAGAAATCGATTCAGACATCCATTCCATCAGTTCCCGCTGAGGCTCGAAGCACGCTGTGACTTTGGTATACTTTCCGATTGGCTTATGGCGCTTCAGAACCGGCAGTAGGTCTTCCGGATCGAATTGCACGATCAGCTCTTGGCAACGAAGATCGATGTCATCCGGAATGGGACAAAAAAGCGCCAATTTCGTGACGATGGTATTATTAAAAAACAGCTTGTTGATTGGCCCAACTATTTCGTAACGATCGGTCCACATATAATGAAGATCGTCTTTTGAATAATCGAGCGATAAAGGCGAGTATTTGTCTCGGCAGGTCTTGGCCACTTCTCGCACCTCCTTGCTTGTCATGGCCGTTTTGTGGAAGCTTCGAATATCCATCCGTCGCATCACGTTGTGCTGCACCACAATCGGTAACGCGCAGAAGTCCATCGTCTGAAATGGATAGTTCAAAAGATCAAATAAAAAGGTTGAATGCAAGAAACTAAATTTCTTAAAAACAAAATGCTTTTTGGGAACGTAAAAGGCATGCGCCCTACCAAGAAAACCCTGGGAAAAATGAAGCGAAGAAGCAAACGTAGCCGAAAATGAGACCAATGAGACGAGCACTGACCTCTAAAATCTAACTATCGCGCGGGAATTACGCTAGTAAACGCGAGCCCATGACAGCAATGGCTCTGGGACTGTGGTATCGGTGTGATTTCCTGCAGACACTCTCTCTCTCTCTCTCTCTCTCTCTCTCTCTCTCTCTCTCTCTTTTGCTCTCATTCGATCTCACGCTTTCTCGCGTTCTCTTCCTCTCCCTCACTCTCTGTCCATATCAGCTCCTCCTTGCTCTCGCCTTTCTCTCTCGCTCTCCCTCTCTCTCGCCGTCGCTCTCTCGCTCGCAGCTATACGACGATCGAAAATATAAAAAGTATATGTGACCACGCGCGGAGTCCTAAATGGGACGATGTCGTGCTCCAAGATCCACCGGAAAATTCAATTTGGATGATCTTCTCTAATTCAACTCATTTTTATCACCGAGCTTTGAGCAATTTCTTTAAGAGTCCCCCCAGAAGACACCCCAAAGCCCCGAGAGCAACGAGGTGTTAATCGGATTTCCTTCCCGTCAACTTATTTATCATTCCGGAAGCGCCGAGTCCGTCCCCCGCCAGACGCCTTGCTGAGGATACAATCGATGGCTGAATGACTCGGTCAATTTTGTTTATATTTCTCTGTTCTATCTGTGTATTCCACGCTGTATCACTCCAGAAAATTGAGCAAATCGAGCTCGGCTACCGCTATCCATCCTACGCACTTCACGGATACAGCCTGAGGCTGAAAAAAGTAGCTACGAAACGTCAACGGCTTTTCAAAGGGAAAGGCCAAAATCCCGACATTCAAAATCGACAGCCATAATTTCGACAGCTAAAATCCGACAGCCAAAATCCCGACGGCTTAAAACAATTTAGGGCTAACGCGACGGGAAATATAACATTTCGGTTGTCGGTGTTTTGGATATCGGGTTTATGGCTGCAATTAGCTTTTTAATTTACGTATAACGTAATTTTACGATTTTTAGGAGCTTCAAATCACTACCCGAGAGCCTAAGACTCTGCAGCTAAATTATGCAACAAGAAATTGTACTCAAGAAAATCCCCCAGAGGGTGAAAAACCCAAAAATCCGCGGGTCACTTGCTATGATCCAATCCCGTTTCGAATAAATGACAAAATTATGGATCCAAGTGGGTGTAGGGAGATGAGGTATGGGTTTTATGGTAAACGTAGAAGCTTCAATTTCAGGCCCTTGAGCATCGGATACCTCGAATTCCTCTACACCTGCCGTTGGACCGCCTCTGGCCAAACTGTGAAAATTTCCTATATTCCGTTCACGTCGCCGGATGACGTTTTTGCCGTTTCAATTCGAGTTTTGGAGTGGACAAGTAAGCCCTTAAAAAGACGGATTAACGGGGCTTTAAGATGACAAAATCTACCCCTCCAGTGGCTAGGTATCGACAACTACGCGAAGTGCCAAATGCCGTCCGAAAAATTCGTCGACTCTTCCTAAATTCTTTTTGGCTTAAATTTACGCACAGCTAGAAATTTTACCGCAGCCACCTCGCTCCAAAAAAGCCTAAAAAAGCTATTGTCCATAAAAAAAGTTTTTTCGCAGGGAAATATAGACGGATTTTTGAAAAATTAATTTTTGCATACAATGGTGTTTGGTCTCGCTGTATCTTGCGTCCGTAGCGGAATAAAATTATGTATGGGCGTGATTTGGCGCAGCGCGTAGCTATCGGCTTAAACGTACCTAATACCTTCAGGCCCTTTTCCAACCTACCTGCTCCCCGCTTCACCAAGCGACGATAATGAACTACAATGTGAGTGGAATCAGTGAAAAACAGCAGAAAGCCTGCCTTACCATGGCCCCTTTTTAGTGATCATGATGAATCGGGATGAAATTCTCTCCATCGTCCCGCTGATGCCACAGTAAGAAGTCAATTTCATCTGATTTTTCACAAATTTTCAGTCCGATCACTGATTCGGCATTCCCCAGTGTCAATTTGTACGTACAGCTGCTGGATGCGATGGACGATTTTTCGATCGCTTTCTATGCGGGCTCAGATACGGATAATGACGAGAATTTACTCGTGCAATTTGGGTAATTCTTCAAAATTGTTTTGGTTTTTGAACCGTTTCAAAAATGTAATTTCACGCCGAAAAACCGAAAGGCCAATTAGGCATTTTAGAAGAAGCGTGGCCATCGATACTATAAATTTTCTAGCGACTCTAGTTTTTAGTGATCCCCAAAGTTTTAGTTAGCTCTATTCCTCCGTCTTTTCATGTATAATTAACGCCAGCAACGGCGACTTCTCGTTGGAATTGCTCATCTACAACGAGGCCCGGCAAAGATGTAGGTGTCATTGTCGGCATGCCGTCCCGAAAATTTAAAAAAAAGATTTATTCCAGTTATTCGCCCATCTCTGCTGACCAGCCCGTTATACCCGTGGAAATTTGACAATTCAGAGCTAATTGATTTTTGTTTTGAGGACTCGGCGGAATGTAAGTAGCCGTTGCTAGAAATTTGCCAAGATTTAGATTTCCGCCTGGAGCAGGTGACTGTACAGATATTTCGTCTTGAAGGTGGAACGATCGAGATCAGGGGTGATAATGATGAATTGATTGGAAAGTGAGAGAGAAGTTAGAGAGGGAGAGAGAGAGAGAGAAAAAGAGGAAGATAGAGAGAGAGAGAGAGAGAGAGAGAGAGAGAACCAACCGGTTCCTAATTCATTAAAACTCAACATTTTTAAGCTACTCCCGTCTGGACTTGGGCAAGAATATACAACTGCTGCTCAGGGATCTGAAGGTACTCCGTTTTTCAATTTCCAATCGGTAAGTACGCTTCAGATCCGCTACTGCCCGAATCCAACGTCTACTAGTCGGCGAGGATTTCTGGTAACACTTTCGACAGCACCTTATGGCCCTTCGAACGTCCCGTGTACACTGACTTTTCCGTCGAATCGAAATGCCTCGATGGTGATGGTTCCGGAACAGTATACGATCAATATGGATGAGTAAGTGGTCGAAGGAAACTAGCGTAGCTCAACTTATTAAACAAATATAACTTTTAGCTACGATCTCATTTGCGTCACGATCCCAAAAGAGTCTCCGATGCCGTTGACCATCGAGACACGATTCTGCGACAGCACCCAGAAGCATCAATTCGAGCTGGGATATATGACGCACAATGTGACCGAGTGTGGCTCCAGGTACCTCACCAATCGAGTACAGCCACTTTTCTCCTCAGTTTCAATTTATCTATCGGCGATGATCCATTATATTGCTGTATCCTCACTAGCACACTATCCCCTGAAGAAGTGTTGGGATTCCGTACTATTGGGAATGGACTACCACGGCCTAGTCTCTTCTTTCAAATTTTGGAATATGGTCCAGGTTAGTTTTTAAGACTGAACCGAGCGAGAGAGCACAAGACCGAGCGCCGGAGAGATAGCTAGTGAGACAGAGAGAGAGAGAGAGAGAGAGAGAGAGAGAAAGAGAGAGAGAAAGCGAAAGACACGGAGAGAGAACAATGGCGCGAGAAGACAGAGAAAGAAAGAGAGCTCGGGAGGGAGAGAGACAGACTGACAGACAGAGAGAGAGAGAGAGAGAGAGCGACCGAGCGGGAGCGGGAGCGAGCTGGAGAGAGGAAGTGAGAGAGAGAGGGAGAGAGAGAGGAGAGAGAGAGAGAGAGAGTAAGAGTGAGCGGGAGAGAGTGAGACAGAAAGGGGTCGTTCTCTCCAATTTTGTCCTCAAACGCCCCCAGAGATAACTAGCCTAACTTTGATTAGTCCATGCTTTAGCCAACACCACCATCGTGACGCTCAATTTTAACCATACATCTGGAATTGAAAAATTTACGGTACCCGAAAATGCGGATAATGAGACGCTAGTGTTCTTCTCGCATCGCACGGATACGGCCTATGCCAATATGGGATGTCCACAATTGATCGTCTACGGGGTCTGGCGTTGATTTTAGCGGATAAGGGATGGAATTAGAATCGTCGGAATGCACCTTGTGACTACGGACTCTACGCCGGGGCGTTGGGAAGGCACTTGGCAACCTTTAGGTAAGTATGGAATGGGTTAATTCGATTATGCCATGATATTTTAGTGACCATGAAGCGGTATTTCCGCAACTTGTCACATCCGAGACGTATTCGATCAAGATACCGCCGTCCTGCTCTCCGACGATAGCACTGCGGCTGGCTAGTTAGTTTAATAATGGAGCTGGATGCATAACTTTGCGTTAAATTCTAGTTTAAAACATGCAAAAATGTTGATGTCTTTAACGTAACTGGCAAGATTTGACTAGGGATTTTGAAAGCTAATGTTTGGCTATGGATTTTGAGATGGCTAATTTGACGGACCGCGACACGCAGCGCACACGCTCGCCGCCACCATTGCGTAATTGATTGCGACGTTTTGCGTTGCGTTACGACCGAGCGGCGTGCGCGTTGCGTTTCGCGGCCGCGGATAGTGCGCTACATATGCAACGTGCAGCACTCATAAGGAGACGTGGAAAAAACGAAGATTGTCGTAATTAAGATTAAGACGTCCTTGAAAATTGAAATCACACTATTTTTCAAAAAGGCATCCGTTTTTACAGCGCTCCAAAAAATACATGTCGTAATCAGATAGTCACTTATTTCAGCCGATTCTCCCAATGGAGTCCACCTGCCCGGGTACGGTATAGCCACCGTAACCGCTCCAGGTTACGGGGATCCGATGCACTCGCGATATTACGGTATTATGGAGATAAAGTGTTCGTGGAATAATGGTTTGGAAGCGATGACGTACCCCCCAAAAATCGCAGCCCTTCAGCGCACGGCGAGAAGTTTTTCTTAAAGCTGGAGGTGGTAGAAGTTCTGACTGGTAGGTTGATGATCAGTATCTCTGATGGAACGGCTACTGGAAGCACCGAGTGAGTCAAAAATTCTTCAAATTGTTATTAGGCCCTGTGGACATCGATATCTTGCATGGATTAGGTATCGGCCATTACAATGCGTTAAATGAGGCCCTAAAATCCATCTCATTTTACCCGAAAAAATTTGGCTGTCAGCGTCTGCAGACGTCTGTTCTCAATAAAGAACCGCCAAATGCCTCAATTTAAACTCTACTTTTATTTAGGCTCTCCTTCGACACATCGTACACCAAAAACGGCACTTGGTGGAGCTTTGAAAGTCCGGCGTGCATAAATGCAAGCTAATTTTATCCTTTTCGAAACTTAATATCACTACACCGTTCATAACTGCTATTCATTTCCGGTTTAGATAAGTTGGACAAACTCTCTGCTAATCCCACTCGGAGTACCGACTGGATTCTTGGCACATTTCGAATTTGCTCGACGCCGGGATGTTAGTGTACAAGAACTGCCGTCACCACCAAGTCTCGAGCTGGAAATGCGTGTCACTATTTGCATCATCTATTAGTGCTTGTATTAATTAGTTTGATACGCTGCCAATGGTATCTTCGACTTTCAGGGTTTTTCAAAGCATAAAAATCCAATTTCCAATTTCCAAACAAAACATGGAAGGTAATCAAATGATAAATAAATCCATTTTATATGATAATTTCGCTAGGCAAAAATGCACACGAGTAAGGCTTAAAAATGATGAGTAGTCCAAGTGGTGTTATCATCAGATTGTTTCAATCGCATTTCATCAGTTAGTTGCTCCGGTCTCGAATTAACCGAATCCAGTGCATTTCCGGAATGTTTATAGAACTAGGCCGCTTACAGCGGCTTCGTCGCTGCAATCCGGCTGGACTTCGGGCTACCCCCCGCGCTCCCTTCCCCCCGCCGATCGCCCTGGCCCAAGATGACCAAAATCACCCCAACCTCCGTCCCCCACTGCTTTTACTAAAGCAAAAACTTTCAAATTTAAATTTAATCATTTAAACAAACAATTTTTCATAATTTTTCTATCAGTTTGGCGGTTTCTGACCACGCTCTATCCGAATCCGAAGAGACCGAAGCTCTAGCTCCTTTCCCCTTCGAGTTGAATCCCGACCGGATGGACGAACACCACCACTTTTTTATCATAGCTGATTATAAGTGGAAAGGTATTTTATTCAAGTTCGTTTATGGCCGATGCGCAAGGCTTTTCTTAATTTTTGATAGAATCGATAAGGTAGATAGTACGATGTTGTGCGCATTAACAGCCGATACTCGGAGATTAGGAGCACCATCACATCACCATTTCTTCGCTGGATACGGTAGAAGGGCTGACGATGTCCCTTAACGTCAATTCTCTCGTAGGCTTTGAGGAACGGCGTTAATGGCGCTGGCGATTCCCCTCGTAATTGACGAAACATATCAATGGTGATTTCCTTAATTTCGCGCTTCTCCTGTAGCCATTCCTTAATAAGCCGTTTTATGTATTCGATGACTTGGGTGAGAGTGCTGCCATCGGGTTCCACCGACATGATTGGCACACGCAAATCGACATAGGCAAGCAGTGGAAATCGCAGCTGAATCTGTCGGGGCTCGTATAGTAGGGACAGAAACGTGACACTATCGATCGATCTATTCATCCACTCGATCATTTCCGGTTCCGGCTCGAATTCCGCTTTTATCCAGTACTTCCCGATTGGCTTATGCCGCTTCAGAATTGACAGCAGATCTCCGGGAAAGAAATTAACCCGCAGGTTTTCGCAACGGAGATCGATTGCATCCGGTACTGGGGCATAAAGCGCCAGGTTGCTGATGGTGGCATTATCGAACAGCAGTTTGTGCATTGCGGTCCAGTTATTGGACCATTCGAAATTTTTATGTATTCTGTCATAAATCGTGATTGTCTGCCCTTTCGACGTTTTCACAAACTCCCCATACCAATATTTGTGGCATGACGTGGCCACCTCCAACACCTTTCTGCTCGTTAGAGCTGTCCTGCGGAAGCTTTCAATATCCATTCGTTGCATCGCGTTGTGCTGCACTTCAGTCGGCAGTGCGCTGAAGTCCATTGTCTGAAAAAAGGTACATCAGATAATAATGCCCAGATGATAGGGAAATATTAAGGAAAGGCCTGAATGGGGGAAAAGAAATGAGAGAAATGAAAAAGTACATCAACAATGATCTGCGGTTTTCTATTTTCAATTACTTTTTAAATTTGGCGAGTGCCATTTGAAAGAGCGTCGAAAGATACAGTGAGAGAATTAATTTCAGCCCGAAATAACGTAATGGAAATTTTTTTATTGAATAAAGAAAAATTTATCAAAATCCATGGGCTGGCATGGCATGGGCGTAAGATAACAGGGGAAATTAAATTTTCCAAGTTTTCGGTATTTTGAAAACGCCGTTCGATAGCGCGTCGTAAAATAAATTAAGAGCGTTTTTATAGTCCAAAACCCCTATTTTAAAATATTTTTATTATAAAAACTTTGAGTGCCCACCCCCCACCCCCGTTCTCGTGTGTGTACCAAAGAGCGGAATGAATCTAAAAAGTACTGCGCGAACCAAAGGTATCCAAACCAAACTTAAAATTCCCGCTCGAACTGAAAATTCGAACGCTTTTACCGTTTCTCGAAAGCGATCGGGTGAATTGAGATGCATGGGATAATCATGATTAGGCGGTGTTACGGAAATGAAATATGGCAAGGTGATAAAGTAATTCATGCCGAAAAAATTTCAAATCTGGATGTCCGGGGGAATTACACGCGCCAAATGTCCCTTTGGCAGCATTAATGCCTGCGGGGCGCCGTATCTGCCCTGCGGCATCTTAAAAAAGAGTGCCATGGCGTAGCCTTTCCGAATCAAAAAGTCAGGAGAAAAAGGCGAAGGCTATTTTTTCACAGGTGCGCAAAAAATTTGAGAGACGCGCTCTGCTTTTTATGCAAATTTAGATGGCGCCAAATTCAGATTAGCAATTGTATGCTATCAAATGTGTTTTCAAGTCGGAAATTGATTTTTGTTGTGTCCGCGAGTGTGGATGCCTCTGGTGCGCTTGATCGATCACTTGTTCTCGAATAAACGTTAGAAGTTTATTCGAACCAGCTGCAGGATAAAAACGATAAGAGAGAGATTTAGGGGAGAAAATCCCATCGGTGAAAGACATTACGACAAGTAAACAGGGGTGATTTGAACTGGGGAGGATTACGGTCACGGGGTCACGCAATGGGCAGTAGGGGAAAATAGACTACCCTTTTCTCTGCCCAACAAATTTAATACAGTTTGTTGCAGAAAAATTTGTAGAGTATGCATAAAAACTTGATTTGTTCAATCTCAGTTCGGGCTGATGCGCAACGCTTCCCTTAATTCTTGATCGCATCGATCAGGTAGATAGTACGATGATGTTCGCATTAACAGCTCATACCCGGCGGTTTGGAGCGCCATCATATCACCATTGCTGCGCTGAATGCGGTAAAATGGTTGATGCACTCCCTCGACGTCAATTCTCTCGTACCTTTCGAGTAGCTGCTCTAATTCCGCCGCCCAATGCCATCCGTGACGATCCATGTAAATAACAATTTCCTTAAACTCGCGCTTCTCCTGTAGCCATTGATCGATCAGCAGTTTTATGTATTCTTCGACTTGAGACATGGTGCTGCCCATGGGTTCCACCCGCATTTCCGGCACGCACAGGTCCGAATACGCTAGCAAGGGAATTTGGAGATCAATGCCGAAAGGATCGTACCACGTCCAAAGAGTAAAACGATCGATGGATGCATTTATCCATTCGATTAATTCACAATTGGGTAGGAACGACACTGATACCGAGTATTTTCCCACCGGTTTATGTCGCTTTAAAATTGACAGCAAATCCTGGGGGTAAAAATCGACCGTCAAGTATTCGCAGCGAAGATCGATCCCATCGGGGATAGGCCCACATAGTTTCAGGCTCGAGACGGTGGCATTATCAAAAAGCAGCTTGTACGTGGCGGGCCTGTTACTTGACAACCTGAAAGTTTCCTGATCCATGTATACATCAGCGAGCTGCCATCCTCGCGATGTTCTTTCCAAGTACCCAGGCCAATATTTCCCGTGGCATTCCTTGGCCACCTCCAGCACTTTCCGGCTCGTCATGGCTGTCCTGTGGAAGCTCTCAATATCCATCCGACGCATCACGTTGTGCTGAACTACGAGCGGCAGAACGCAGAAGTCCATTGTCTGAAATTTCTAACTTGGTAGAGCAGCGGCGGGGCAACTGGCACGAGATAAAATTGATGAGATAAGAATCGAAGATATTGAAAAATATAAAATTTGCTAGGCAGAACTTCGTTCTGATTGAGCAATCCTGCGCGGCTCAAAACCAAAAATAATACCAAAGCTGTTTTCCTGGACAGCTTTGCAAACTTCCAGAAGCGAAGTTTAGCAACTTGACTAATAAGAAAAGGAAAATCATAGACAATCAGGATAGCGGTGTAGCGGCAAAACAGACCCGAAAAAGCCAATCGAGTAATGCATGCGCTCGAAAGTTTCAAATCAACTGGTTGGGCGAGCATTACGCGGGTAAATGCAATGCCGCCGGGCCCTCTACGCCGCATCTGCGCTCACATCCTAATGAAACCGAACTCCCTTTGGGCAAGGATGGTCCGGGTGGGGCGCGCTTTAGGCGACGGGAAGGGGTGAGAGCGTGGGGCTGGGGGAGAGAGGGCAGACGGCGTGGGGGAAGAGATCGGCGGGGATCCTGGCCCCCGCACAGATCCCAAAAATCCTAAGGCCATAAGGATGTGGCCCTGCGGTATCGTTGGGGAAAAGGCGCAGGCTTTGCAAGTCAATAATTGCTACAGAGAAAGATGTCACTTAGTTTTTTCAAGCAATTTATGTATGATGCCTTTTTGTGTAAGTTTTGACGTGGAAGAGCATGAATTAAAAAAATTCAAACGCTATTTTTCGAATCGTCAAGCGACTACGCTGTTGCTAGCTGTCCTAACTTTCAAAACGGACGCCGAATTCCGCGAGATCGTTGAATTGGAAGCTTTGCAGGGCATTACGACGTGTGAAGCCGGCCCATCGAAAACAGAACATTCCTTTTTTCTCTCAATTTTTTGCTTTTTTTTGGCAGGGAAATAAGTTTGCGGATATACTTAGCGAATGCCCTTCGATTTTTTGACTCGGCGGTCGATCTCCGAGCAGAGAAATTTCGACTTCTTGGCTCCTTTAATCGTGTTTCTACACCGTTTTTTGACGTTTCAGAGATCCTTGGCAACGAAAAATAGCAGCCTTTCAAAACGACGCCTGGAAGGTTGGTAATCCGATTGTTGGGCGCCCATTTATCATTCCGGAAGCGCTGAGACCTGCCCCGGCCAAACACCTTCTTCTGAATTCAATCGATGAGTGGATGATTCTATTTATTCGGTGCCTATTTCTCTGCTCTCTCTTTATAGTGTCGATTCTATCACTCGGGACAATCGAGAAAATTGAGCTCGACTGTCGGTATCCATCGTACGCTCTTCACGGCTACAGTTTAAGGTTGAAAAAGGTAGCTAGAAAAGGGCAATGAAAATTTGATTCGATGTTTATGGTTTCTTTGTGATTTTCAGAAGCTCCAAATTGTAAAAAGCTGCAAATTTAAAGAAAGCTCCACATTAATGAAAAAGCAAAAATCCCGAGTAATTTTTAGGAGCTCCAAATCATCATCCAGGAGCCAAAAACGCTCCAAATAAACTATTCAATCCGAAATTGCACTCAAGAAAACCCGCCGGAGGGCGAAAAACCCGAAAATCCAAGGGTTACGTGCTATGATCCGATTCCTTTTCGAATCAATGACAAAGTTATGGACGCAAGAGGATGTAGGGAGATGAGGTAAGGTTAATGTTATTCCCTTCTATCCTGCGTTGCAGGCCCCTGAACGTGGACTACAAAGAATACCTCTTTACGTGTCGATGGAACTTTTCTGAACAAGCTTTAAACATTTCCTATCTTCCGTCAATATCTCGTGATGACGTTTTTGCAATTTCAATACGGGTTATGGAATGGACAAGTTGGTTTTTAAGAAAAAAGTGATTGGGTCGTTGCCTCTGGGAAAATTTTCTAAAAACCGTATTTTACTCGCTCTTTAGATTTTCATTTGTAAGTGATAAAAATTAAGAAATAGTCGTTAGTAGGTAATACGTCGAATTAGGTCATCTTCCAAGCTATCTTCTTCCCGCCGTCCCAGCCGATGAAATGATCATCGTCCTGATTCTGGCTCCAAATGAAATTGTGTCGATTCTACCATTAGTACCAGAGTAGCGAAAATCACGATAACTTTCCTCTAACAACTTTAGACGACTTAGTGAGGACAATTTCCCGAGCGTGAATTTATATGCTCAGCCAATGGGCACGAGCGAATCCCATTTTTTACTAAATTTCTACGCCGGATCCGACACGGACAATGATGAGAATTGGCTTGTTGGGTTTAGGTAATTCTGCATTTAAGCGCATATTTAACTTTTTCTATGAACTTTCAGCCAACCCGAAAGCGTGACGCTTTACTCTTCCGTATTTTCTCTGATCCTGAACTCTACGACAAATGATTTCCGGCTGGAATTGTTGATTTGCTATGGTGTACAGCATCAATGTTAGTCTGGATTTTTGGATTTTAGCCTGGATTTACACTTTAAAGGGGCGGGGAAGTCCTAAATTGGCCTTTTTCGCCGAGTGGATATCGACAGCCGGCGACACAGCTTCCTCAACCTTTCTAGTCCCTTTAAAATGACAAATTGCTAATTTAAAGTCAACCATAACCGCGATCAAACGTTTAAGTTGTCCGCCCAGCCCTCCTGACCAGCCCATTATTCCCGTGGAAATTCGACGACTCGAATGGGGTCGATTTCTGCTTCAACGACACGGCACAATGTAAGACAATCCTTACTTTTGAGCCTGTGCAGATTTTCGTCTCGAACAAGTGACGGTGCAGATCTTTCGGCTGGAAGGTGGCACAATAGAGATGAGGAATGATTCGGATGATTTTATTGGAAAGTACGGGTTTTCGTGGTATGGCAAGAACGCAAAATATCTTTAGTTACACGCGGCTGGATTTGGGCAAGAATATCCATCTACTAACCACCGGACTAACGGTATGAGGATTAAAAAGTGTTTAAATTTTAAGTATGCTGGGTATTTCACCGTCTTTAGCGGAGAGAAGCATCAGTTCCCCAGAAGCACCGATATTCCCTTTTTTAAAGGGGCTCCGAACTGCCAAATCAAAGCCCTTTTGGGAGGCCTCTTTGATTTCTGGCAAATTGCCAGGGGGCGTTGCGGGACGAGAGCCCTCACTCTTTCGATTTTCGCGCGAATTTGTTTTTGCCCGGTTTCTTTGTGAAAACACCCCAATTCGCGCATTCTGTGCCCATTTTTGAAATCCTCACTCAATTTTAAACAGTTTTGGTGCTTAAATCATCAAATTTGGCCCAGAAACAGCCGAGAACGCGATTTCGAGGTGAGAACAGGCAATTTCAAATTTGCGAGCTAGGTGTACAGAGGTCTCCGACGTACAGGGTTCAGATTTTCGGGCTGTCACTCAATCTTTGGCATTTCGTAGCCCCTTTAACCAGGAGTCTTTTTCAGATCCGCTTCTGCCCCGATCTAAACTCCACGGGTCGGCGAGGATTTTTGGCTACACTCTCCACCGAGCCGTATATCCCGACAAATATACCATGCACAGCAACATTTCCTCTCAACCGAACTGTTTCGATGGTGATGGTTCCCGATCACCATGTCATGCTCATGGATGAGTGAGTTTTTCGATATTTTAGCAATTCTTGTTCGCCTTTTGCCATTCGCAAGCTCTTTGGCTGTTCTTATAGCGTTTTTTTTGCAAGTTTACGGGCTAATGAAGCTCATGAAAGCTCGAAAAAGTATTTTATTTCTTCATTACAGCTACGACATGCTCTGCGTCACAATCCCAAAGACCTCCCCAATGGCGTTGACGATCGAGACACGCTTCTGCGATAATTCTCAGAGCAATCAATTTGAACTCGATTACGAGACATACAACATGACGGGATGCCAATCAAGGTCCAAAAATTCTAATTTTATTTTAGCTCCAAAAACTCCAAAAAACCTCCTCATAAATTGAAAAATTTGACGTGATTCCGTGCATTTAAAAAGTTTAATAAATACTAGCGTTTTAGTCTTTCTATCGGTGATGATCAATTGTATTGCTGTCGAATCGTGGCGAAGCTCTCGCCATATCAAATTTTAACTTTTCGAAACCTGGGAAGTTATCAGGGGAGACCAAGCCTGTTCTTTCGAATTTTGGAATCGGCACCGGGTATGTTTTTCGTCGCTTATTTTTTCGCTTTTTTAGAAAACTAAACACCTATAAAATAATACCCCATACAAAAAAGAATAGTCTCTCCGTTTTAGCCAACACCTCTATCATCACCTTTGCTTTTAACCGACTGACCGAGATGGAAAAGCTCACGATACCAGCAAATCCGGAAAATGACACCTTACTATTTTTCGGTCATCGCACCGACCTGCCTTATATGGTGTGCACGCAACTGATTGTTTACGGGGTAGCTTGCGGTCTATGACTAGTCGCAAAATTATGCACAAAATTAGCGCCGAAATCATATGCCATGTGAATACGAGCTACACGCCGGGGCGATGGGAAAGCACTTGACGACATTTAGGTCCGTTTTAAATGGATTAAAAAGTGTATGGTTTAGCCATGTGGCGTTTAAAATTATGGATTACGAATTTAGCGATTACGAGGCGATCTTCCCGCAAATCCTCACCTCGGAAACGTATTCGCTGAAAATCCCGCGTTACTGCTCGCCGATGATAGCCTTGGATGTTGGAGGTGACTGAAAACTACGAAAAGTTCTGGTTTTCAAAGGCTTTCTGTCGCTATTTCTTTCTCTCGCCCTCTCTCGCTTTCACTCGCTCTATCTCTCGATCACCCTCTCTATCTATTTCCATCTCTCGCTCAACCTCCCTCTCTTCCTTTGCCACTCTCTACACTTTCTAGCTTCTCCTCCACGCTATAGCGTTTCTCTCTCTCTCTCTCTCTTTCTCTCTCTCTTTCGCCCTCTCTCACTCTCTATCGCTCTCTAGCTGCCTTTCGTCCTAAAAACATGAATTTTAGACGCCATGGACATTAGCCCTGGAATGCGTATGCCCGGGTACGGTACCGCGATCGTCACCTCCCAAGGCTACGGTGATCCTATGCATATCGCATATAATGGCTGGACGGGAACGAAGTGCGCTTGGGTTAATGGTACGTCTCAATTGTTTCTTACGAAAGAGTTGGTCGTTTCAGTACAGAACGAGACCTATGACGTGGCGATCGAGGTCGTCGAGGTATTGACCGGGGAACTGACGATCAACTTTTGCGATGCGACAGATAAAAACAAGTGGGCTTTTTAAAAAATCAATTCATTAATTAGTGCTTGTTAGCTAAAGTTATAGACGTAAAAAACGCTTCATTTATTAAAAAAAAGTAAATAATTTTGATTTTAGAATGATTTGAGAACAATTTTAGGCTCTTCTTCAACACATCGTACCTCAGAAATGGCACTTCTTGGAACTTTCAAAGCCCGAATTGCATAAATGTAAGTAATTCTACCACCGCAAAAATAAAAAACAGCTTTAATGACTGACGATACCTTTAAAATGTCATTTTCAGATATCTTGGAGCAGTATGGGCACTGTTGCTCTTGGAGAGCCCACCGGATTCCAGGCCCGTTTTAAATTTCAACATCATCGATGGATGACGACACCGGAAACTGTCACGACATCTTCATCGCAAAAAGCTTATTTGCCCGGCCTATTAATATTTGTGTTGACGAGATTGTTAAGGTAGTATCCCACCGGAAATTCGATATGGTTGTTGCGCTATACGGGTGTTTTAATTCTTTTTGTGAATAAAAATTGTATAACATAACATAGGTTTTTAGGCACGTTTTTGGTTCTTTAGTAATATTGGGGAACGAATTATTTTTCTAGAGATCCAATTTTCTAATATGAATAAATTAAGTGTCCCTAAACTGTTTCTTTCATGTGCCTAAACGTTAAACTGTAGAAACTTTGATTGATAATTACAAAAGACACCGGGTCTTCGACAAAACGGGCCGGTTTTTCATCAAAGTTGCCCAGCAAAGATGTTCCAATATAGATGGTTTATCGTTTTCCACTGAAAAGTTTACTAAGAACATTATTAGGCATTTGCTGTTACTAAGAAGATTGAACTAAGAAATTTTCGCTACTAAGAATTTCTGGAATTGCTGGAAAAAAATTGGTCCCCCAGTACGGGTAAGAAATATCGATTTCGAGGGTTGATCTGCACCTAACTTTTTGAAGCACACTCCTGACCACGCTTACGAACGTCACCACGCTGATATCAGCTGAGAGGAAAATCGGAGCTTTTATCGTGTTTTACTAGCCCTACAGTTTTCTTGAACTTATTTTTGTAAGCAAGGGGAAAATCGGTTGTAATGCCCCGGATTATGAATGGGCAACTTCTTATCGTAAGCCCCCTGTTCCCAACGCGCCCGGTTTTTGCTGCGTGACTTGACCAGGGTTCAGGTTGTGTCACTTGGGTTTGGAGTGAATAATTGGAGTAAATATTTACTATACACCCTGATTTAATAATGTGTATCTTCGTCCTATTTTACTGCTTCTACTCCATTTTCGCATTGAATATCGAGCTCGACCGCGCGAATCCATCGTATGCCCTTCATGGGATTGCCCTGAACAAAGCGAAGGTATACTTCAGCTGCTCCTGAAAAAACTCTCAGCGAAAGACGGCACATTTTGCCTTCAGGAGCTCCAAATCACCACCACCACCACCACCGGAAAACGCCTGCAAATCAGTTACTCGAAAACCGACTGCAAGTTGGAACGTCTCCCAGAAAAAGATGCAGATGACGATCCGGCAGTGACATGCCGTGACCCGATTCCCTTCAAAGTCGATGGACAGGAAATGGACCCAATCGATGGCTGCCGGTCCATATGGTTGGTTTGCGCCCGTCGCGGATTTGCCTGAGTTTGTAGGCGCATCGATGAAGACAAATTCACGGAATTTGTATATGGATGCGAATGGATCGTGGCCAAGACGACGATCTCTATTACGTATCTGCCTTCGGTATCTGCTGACAATGTGTTCGCACTTTCTGTTCGAGTGTTGGAATGGTCGCGTAAGTTGACATGGGAAATAGTTTTTACTGAATCTCCCTCTCTCCCTCTCTCTCTCTCTCTCACTCTCTCTCACTCACTCTCTCTCTCTCTTTCTTTCTCTCTGTCTCGCTCTCTCGCTCTCTCTCGCTCTCTCTGACTCTCGCCCTCTCTCGCTCTCTCCCGCTCTTTCTGTTTCTCTCGCACTCTCTCTCTCGCTCTATCTCTCAATATCTTTATCACCCTCGATGTAAGCACTGATTTGCCCAATGATAGGATTTTTAGGCCAACTGCCGCTGCACCTTCTCCCGGTCGACCCACTCAGCTACACTTCTTTCCCGACGCTCACCTCCAACCTGCTCTTGTCAATCGTTAATGCGCCCAGTGATGACTACCCTTACCTGACGCTCGATGTGCGGCCACTAAACCCTTCCGCAATCAATTTCGCGTTCTCGATTTATGCTGGCTCGGACACGGACAACGAGGAAAATCTGTTGATCAAGTTCCGGTACGTCGAGCACCCCTGGCCCCAGCGCAGTTTAGCGGAATTCACGGGCTAAATCTCTATGCTTCGGTGGTGACGTGTTTTCTCGAATCCGATGACCCGTCCGTACAGCTCCAGATCGGGGTGAATAACATTGAAGGTAGCGTGACATTGCGAGACTAACATGTAAGATCTGATCTACAGACGAAAAGCGTATCTTGCTTTCAAGTCCGTTGTACCCATGGAAATTCGACGATTCTGCGGAAATTGAAGAATGCTTTGTGGATGTGATTGACCGTACGTCGGAATTGGATTGGTTCTCTCTCTCTTCCTCTCTCTCTCTCTCTGTTTCCCTCTGTCTCTGGCTCTCTCTCCTTACACTCTCACACTCTCACGCTCTCTTGCACTCACCAGAAGTTTCAGTTTTTGGCACGGCCCGCAAATTCCGCATCACACCGTTCCGACTTGAAGGCGGTACCCTCGAATTCATTGACGAATCCGATACAACACTCGGAAAGTAAAGCAATACACCACCATCCATAAGCCCTATTTCAGCTTCACTGACCAAGATGTCGGCAAGAGCATCGAATTTGTGTCCGAGGAGTTCAGGGTTTGATGTTTTCAAGGTGGTACTTATCTTATCAGGTCCGTTTTTGTCCGCTAACAAATGCCACAGGAAGGCGTGGATTCCTGGCGACGAGCTCGAGCAGTCCAGGTCTATTTCCGTAAAAGCCATTACGGCTTGGACGGTTTAGAGATTATCAACTGCAGCATAACCTACGAGTTGAGTGCCGGAAAACCCGCGATGATGGTGCCAGTTGGTCGACTGTTGCTTCGGACTGATCAGTGGGTGGCGTTCAGACCTTGCTGGGTCCCGTTTTAACACCGGACAATAAGCGTGGCCTCTTTTTCAGCTCCATGTCGTTCTGTGCTTCAATCTCGGAGAGCAATTTGGCCAAGACGATCGAAACCATCTTCTGCGACTCCCAGCTGACGGAAATTTTTGAATTTGATGGGGTTGAGCACAACATGACTGAGTGCGAGCAGAGGTTTGCGCTTAAAAAAATGGACCGCGAGGTTATCGCAGTTCTGGACTGTTAGCGGGGGGGCGAGGGTTTCAGCTTTTTTTCACTTCTTGGTCAAAAATAAATGAAAATGAATAAAATCAAAAATATTTTCGAATTTTTAAGATGTTTAAAACGCGTTTTATAACTTACTAGCAATCAAGAACTACCAAAAACACCATAAAAATACAGAATATAGCAACAATAGCTAGAAAAAATGGGGTTTTCCCTGTTAACCTCCCGCGCCGCCCCCGATAATGCCAAAGAACCGGTTTGTCTAAGAAAAATTTGCAAACTTTTTAATTTTTCCTGGAAAGCCTCATTTAGCCACATGACGGAGGAGGGTCCATTATACTGCTGCATTTTCAAAAGTGAGCACCCCGCCTCCGAGGTGGTCCGTTTCCAGCCATCAGGCGAGAATTGGATTCGACCCTCGTTGTTTTTTCGGATCATCGACGAAAGCACAGGTAGGGACAAGGACCAGTAATTCAAACTCTTCCAGACATGCCAAACATCATCACGATCAGCTTCACAAAAGTTTTCAAAACGATCTTCGAGCGATTTGCGGTGCCAAATTCTGGTGAAAATGGGACCGTCGTCTACATCTCGCATGCAATGTTTTGGGCAGATATGGGTTCACCCGATCTCGTCATATCTGCGGTTGGTAATAGATCTAAAGAACTTGATAGAACACTCGAAACGACAATTCTTTAATCGACAGAAGCCTGACTGTAAAGTGTTTTTACTCAAGTTGGAGTTTCGATTCGAAACCAAGTGCATCTTGTGCAGAATTTTTTTCGGCATTTCGGAATTCCGAATCGGCTTTCCAAATTGACCGCGGACTCTTCTTTAAAAAGTCTGTTTTGGTGCAAGTTAAGCTTAAATAAGGCAAAAATTCGGATTCTGACCCACTATTGCCTTGTTTGATCCTATGACTCCCAGGGTCCCTGAAGTACGCTCTCCCGACTCGGTGACCAGTTGTTTCGGCGCTAAAGGCCTCTGGAACGATGGTTTGCGCGAAAAAGCAAAAGACGTTTGCACCGGGCGGGGTCGAACCCGCACCGTGAGAATGACAGCCCAGCGCGCTATCCACTATACCACTCTCACCAACTGGGAGACGCGGCGGAGAGGGATGACGTGCCCGAGCACCCCCGCGGCGCTCCTATGTACGCCGCCACGGTGTCCGCGCTCTGCAGCCAGCCGCAACCCCTGCAGCTGAGTAGCCCAGCGTCCCAGAAGCCTTTAAGATGCTTGTCTAACCAATGTCTAGCCGATTTTGACGTTGAAGTTGTTTCAGAAAATCGAAAACGACAACGGTTTTTTGATTTTGGTGAAAAAGACTACCATAATTGCTGCATAACTTTAAAAATAAAAATCTGCAGCAGATTTGGAAAGCGGATTCGGAATCAGCGAAAAATTCTTAATTCTAAAAATTCTTCGCGTTTTGCAGGAGTTGGCAATAGTGCTGAAACAGCTTGATAGCATACTATAGGTATATTCTGCCGTTGTGCCTTGCGGTTTACAAGAAATTTATTCAATCACGATGGAAAATAAACTCGTTGGTCGCCTTATCGTTATCATGATCGGTGAGCCGTACCCTCGCTGGGATCGAAATTCGGGCCACGGAGCGGTGGCCTTCTCGCAGCGAGACGATCAGCACTTCGCCGTCACTTCGCCGGATACGGTAGTAGTTAATCGCACGTCTAGCCAAGAAATGGTTTGGGAATTGCTGGAAGAACTGTTCGTGTACACCGCCAGCCAGAGGAGTGTATGACTCGACTTCGACTTGGTGGATTTCGCGCTGGCCTCTCAGCCATTCCTCGACCACAATGTGTGCGTAGGCATCCACTTCTCCGCCAGCTCCCACAGAGAAACGCAGCCGAATATCGGGCATATTTAAAGGCACGTATTCTGATAAGGGAGCACGGCGACCGCTAATGAATAGAGAGTCTGTCGATTTGTTCAACCACTCGATCAAATCTCGATCAGCCGGCATCTTTACAATCCAGACTTGTTCGTATTTTCTGGCGGGTTTATGATGCCGTAGAATAGAAAGACAGGTGCCCCGATAATCTAGAATTATCCTTTTGCAGCGAATGTTGATGTCGTCAGGAATGTCGTGGCCGGAAATATCCAGAA